CTGAATAAAAAATGAGAACGGGAGCTGAGCAGCAGCGTTCATCTCTCTCCATTTCCTGAATGTAGATGTAACGTGACCAGTTGTTTCATGCTCCTACCACCATGCTGACCCTTCTATGATGGACTGTATCCTTACACTGTGAGCCAGAATCAATCCTTCCTTAAGTTGCTTTCCTCAAATATTTTGTCACAGCAATAGAAAAGTAACTAAGACAGAAAACTGGCATAGGAGTAGAGTTGTTGCTGTGACGAACCTGACCACATGACTCTTAGGTCTTTGGAAATGGTTTATAGAAAGAATATGGAAGAGTTGGAAATTTTGGGCTAGAAATGTCCTTGATTACACAGAGTTTAATGGGTCATTCTGGTTGGAGCTTAGAAGACAAGGGTGCTGACCGAAATGTGGACAGTAGAGGTCCATCTCTTGAGGTTTCAGAGAGGAACAAAGACTCCATCAAGAGCTGGACTAGGAGCCATTCATATGATATTTTGGAAAAGAATCTGGCTGCATTCTGCCTGTGTCCTGAGAATTTGAGTGAGGTTGAAATTAAAGGTAATGGACTGATTTGTTTGGTGGAGGCAAGTTCAAGACAGGCTAGCATTCAGCTCTGTCATGATTACTGTTCATTACTTTTATCCAGGTCTATAATGAGAGAGAACAAAAGGTGGATCAGAAAGATTTTTAAAAATGTGTAGTTTGGGGCTGGAGAGATGGCTCAGTAGTTAAGACCACTGCAGAAGACCTGGGTTCAATTCCTGGTATCCATATGGTAGCTAACAACCATCCATTCACTCCAGTTACAGGGGAATTTGACACCCTCTTCTGACCTCCGAAGACACTGCATGACATGCGTGCACTTACATATATGCAGACAATATACTCATATACATAAAATAAAAATCATAAATAAAAAATATATATTTTAAATGTAAGGTTTGACAAGAATATGTATATGACCAGTTTTAAAGTTTGGTACAAGGAAAGTCCAGATGACAAGGAGAATAGCTCCTTAAAAGAAACCTGGTGCTTTGCACTGGGACAATAGGAAAGGTATCTTGAAAGCAAGCCTCCACCCATCAAAAGCTGCATCTTGAGAAGTTCAAAGTCATTTGAAAGGAGAGAGGCTAAATTAAGGATGTCATTGAAGAGATTCCCTTGTCTTTAAAAGCAACTGCTTAGGGAAATGTTTCTCCAGGATTAGCACTAAAGACTGCTGTTGTAACTGTGGTCCAAGGGAGCCAGGCCCCATTATGAGTTGAGTGCAGAACTTGGCAGTGTCATCCATATGGTGCTGATTTTGTAGGCATGAGAGATGTAGGACTGAAGGAATTATGGCACCATGATTTCAAATGATGACTTAGGCTGGGCAATCTGTGGCAGGGTTGGAGTCTCTGCAAGGAGGCCCCATGGGGCCGCTGCATGAAGCTGTGAAGGTGAAGCACAAGTTCCAGTGGAGACCTAGGATGTTGGAGATGCCAGGACCATGGGACATCTGCTGAAGAAAGCTGCATGTAAGAAGCTGACCCAAGAGATGTGTGCTTCAGGCAGCAGAGCTGGAGAATGTGCTATCTGAGCCTCTTACAGCCCAGATGATTCCACCGTAAGACCCAGATGCCAGACATGGAGCTGCAGGATTTGATATTTGCTTTACTGGGTTTTGGTCTTGCTTTAGTCCAATCATTTATTACTATGCCATCATTCTTCCCTTTTAGAATGGGAATGCATATTCTTTTTTTAAGACAACATTTAAAAAATTGTGTGTGTGCATTTGTGCACATGTGCATGCTATGGCATATGTGTGAAGGTCAGAAGACAGTTTATGGGAGTCAGTTTTTTTCTGCTACCATGTGGGCTGTGGGTATTGAACTCAGGTCATCAGGCTTGGTGGCAAGCATTTTTACTCCATAAGCTATCTCACCAACCCAGAATGTTTATTCTGTGCCACTGTAACTTTTTTTTTATTTTATAGACACTTACAGTTAAGAGATTTTCTTGAGTCTCAGATGAGACTTGGACTTTGAACTTTTAAATAGTGTTGGAATTGTTGAAGATTATAGGGACTTCTGAAATAGGACAGAATGCATTATGAGATGGTTAAGGGGTAGAAAGTTATGGCATGGAAGTGATGTGTTTGGGTAGAGCTGTGATGGTTAATCTTGACTGTTAACTTGATAGGATTTAGAGTCACCATGAAAATAAATCTCTGGGTGCCTCTGTAAGGGATTTTCTAGATGAAGTTAATTTAGGTGGGAAGACCCATCCTAAATGTGTGTAGTACTATATGGGTTGGTATGCCAGATGGAATAAAAAGAGAAAGGGAATTGAGCAAGAGCATTCATCTCTCTCTGCTTCCTGAATGTAGATGGAATGTGACCAGATACATCACATTCATGCTGTCATGTTGTCTCTACTCTGACAGATATGTCTGTATCTATCTATCTATCTATCTATCTATCTATCTATCTATCTATCTATCTATCATCTATCTATCTATCTATCTATCTATCTATCTATCATCTGTCTATCATCTATCATCTATCTATCATCTATCTATGTGCATCATGTAAGTGCCTGGTATCTGTGCAAGCCGGAAGGCTTTGGAGCTCCTGGAAGGTGGAGTTACAGACAACTGTGAGCTGCCATGTGGGTGCTGGGAACCAAACCTGGGTCTTTTGCAAGAGTGGCAAGTGCTCTTAACTGCTGAGCCATCTCTCCAGCTTGACAGTATTCTTTTTTTAAAAAAAAATGACAGAATGCATGAACTCCAGTAAGGAGGGGGGGGGTCTATGGGTGGGTGCAGGTAGGAAAAAAATATTATTTTTATTTTACATGTTACATGTATGAGTGTATTGTCTGCATGTGTATAAATGCGCCTGCGTTGTACAATGCCTGCAGAGGTCAGAAGAGGGTGTCAGATTCCCTGGAACTGGAGTTATAGACAATTGTTAGCCTCCATGTGGATGCTGGGAATTGAACCCAGATCCTCTGCAAAAGCATCCTGAGCTCTTTGCCACTGAGCCATCTTTCCAGACCTGAAAGTATTCTTAATGAAACAGTTGTGAGTTTAAAAAGAATAAGTCAGATTACGGGACCTGTCCTCTTCCAAGAATGAAAGAACAAGATAGGAAAATTATTTTTGAGAAAAGATTTCACTCTGTAGTCCAGGCTAGCCTTAAATAAATAGCCTTATTATGTACCCCAAGCTAGACCTGAACTTATGGTTATCCTACCTCAGCTTCTCAAATAGTGGGATTACAGGCATGAGCCACAAGATAAGAATTTTCCAAATCTGCTCTTACTTGCTTTTCTTGACACTGGGATCATTTATCTGACAAAAAACAACCTAAGGGAGGAGAAGTTTATTTCTGCTCACAGTTTGAGGGCACAATCACCACAGTAGAGAAGACACAGCTGTAATGACAGAACATGAGGCAGCTGGCAACATTACCTTGACGGTCAGGGGCCAGGATCGGTGCCAAGCTATACCCCAAAAGGTCTGACCCCAAGGGACCCACTTCCTTTTACTAGGCACCACATCTTAAAGGTTTCATTGTCTGACAAAATAGTACCATCACTTCAGCACCAAGTGTTCAAACATATGAGCTTATGGGGGACATTTCACATTCAAACCACACCTGATGACCTAAGAACAAAACCTATCAATGATGACCCCACCTCTCCCCAAATGTTCTAATTTGAAACAAACTTCAGGTTCTCCTGCTGAAATTTCATTGCTTGGGAATGCTATTGGGGCAAGAAGGTTAGGGAAGACACATTCATAGAGAGAAAACCAACTGGGAGGCATGACTAAGAAAGACTGAGGGATGACAGCAGTGTCCTGGGGGTGGTGTGGGGGGTGAGGGAAATCTCTGGAGCATGGAAGGGGAAATATGGTACAAAGAACAGTGAGGAGACTCATCCTGGTGTGTGAACTGTGTTTATATAACACTATAGCAATTGAATATGGACCAGTGTACTTTGGGGGGTTAGGAGTGTAAGTTCATAAGTACCCCAAATAAGTCTACTGAAAATGAAATAAATTATGTGGCTGAAGAGACAATACAACAGACCCCAAAGCAATGCAATAGGTTGGTAAAGAACATGCGTTCTGGTGCCAAATTGGCCTTGGGTCTTGACTCTGTCCCTTCCTGGATGTGTGCCTTGAACAAGTAGTATATCCTTAGTTTTCTCATCTAACTAAAATAGGGATAAAACTGTGCGTATCTCAGAGGTTTGTTACAGAGACTGAGCCATATACAAGCAGTGCTTAGATCTGAACAGAGGACCAGTACAATGTACACTAATATTAACTCATGTAGTTACAGAGGAAATTCCTAATTACTGGGATATAGGTTATTGTTCACATTTGTTTATTTTTTACCAGCAGAGATTTTTTTTTTTTTTTTTTTGGTCTTTTTGAGACAGGGTCTCTCTGTAGCCCCAGCTGTCTTGGAACTCACTATGTAGACCAGGCTGGCCTTCAACTCACAGAGATCCACCTGCCTCAGCCTCCCAAGTGCTGGGATTAAAGGGGTGCATCACCAACAGAGATTTTAAGCAACTTCCTCAAGTTCCAATGCTGGTAAGTGGTGGAGCTGGGGTTCAGTCACCTGACTCACAGCTGGCCTCTGTTCTTAGCCACCAGGGTGCACAGGCCCTTCACACAGAGCTCTTTGATCCCTTTTGACATTTAAATTGGGTTTCAGGCCTGAAAGCAGAGAAAACAAAAGGACCAGGGAGTGGAGAATGAGGTCGGCCCTTTGCAGGAGGTAGAGTAGAAAGGGAAATGCTTCTAAAATGTACCAGGATTTCCCATGTAGCCCCTCATGGACCTGGTACACAAGAATAAAGGTTTGGCTATGGATCTTGGGTAAAGGATGGGAAGAGATCCCAGTGCAGCTTGTCTCCAAATCCTTAAGTCCTTGCTTTGGGTCCCCTGTCAGAATCCAGGTGGGCAGAACAAACCTGAAGATGACAGGTGAACAGGATGTTTGACTTACCGGCCGGGGCAGACTGTATTGGTACATTTCTGGACGGTAGGTGGGCACCCACTGCACCCCTGCCCTGGGCCGTGTCATGGTCCCTGGAGCGCTCGTCACCACTTCTGAGTAGGGCAGATGCTGAGTGGAGCCATAGGCCTCCTGATGCCGGCTCTGGCCTGCATGACCTGCAGAAGCCAGGCTGAAGGCCTCCTCCAACAGCATGTGCATCTGTTGCCGGACTTCATCGATGGAAGGCTGTGAGCTCAGTGTAGAGGTCTCCGAGTGGCCCTTTACCTGCCGGGCCCGGCCGTAGCCCCGGGGCTCATGCACTCTGTCAACATTGGTTTCCTCTATGATTTCAGGCTCAGTCTGCAGGATAAAATAAAGCAGTTATTTGCTAATGAAGTTCCTTCCCATGAAGGTGGCCTCTAATATATTCTAAAATATTCACTGGGATTGATGATTTTATGAGTTTTGCTCATCTAAGCTATAACCAATGTGCTTTATGCAGGAATTCCCATGGTAGGAATTGTCAGTTAGTGTTCTATAGGAAAGGCTACATGCTAACTGAGGAAGGTATCCACAGCAAGACCAAGGCTGCAGACTTGCTAATTAGCATAATAATGAGAAATGGCTTTCACTGATGAAATTAATGGCATTCTCAAATTTTTTGATGCCTTTGGGTGTAAGAATCTGGAGCATCTTGTGAGTCTGTGTCCCAAAGCATGGCACATCAGACTCTAGACTAGCTCTTTAAATGAGCTTGTGTCCAGCCATTGGTTAGGGAATTCCTGGTTGCCTGATTCCACTTATGAGAGAGAGTAACATGATCCTCCTTCTACACAGCTGATCTCAAAGTATGATGGGTGATGAGAAGCCCTGCGTTGGGCCCAGCACCCTGCTTTCAAGGGCATCCCAATGCCTGCTCAAGTTTGAGATCCACTGATCTAGAATATTCTCTCACCCGCCCTCCTCTTTTATTTAGGGAGCAGATGTAGTAAGTAGCTAGGTGGGTAGAGAGCTGGATCTTGTCACCTTCCAGAAGCAGGCTACAGGGACTGCCAGCTTAGGTTGTCTGTTGAAAGGATAGTTGGTTAGTAAATAGTCTACTCTGTGTTCTGAGGCTTCTTTTCCCATTCTGCGGGATGTCTGCAAGTGCTCATTGTATCACACTGGCCATCCACAGATCTCAGAATGCAAAAAGAAACAAAGAAAAAATCAAAACAAGGAAAGAAAAAACCAAACAAGAACAAACCAGGAGACAAGGGATTGCTTAGGTGACAGTTTGCTGCCCTGTGACAGCTACTATTGCCAAGAGCCAGAGCTGAGGTGCACTGAGAAGCCAAAAGACAGCACTTTAAAGATGTGCCACCCAGGAAAGCTGCTTTAAGGTATTTCCGTTTCTTCACTGGTAAAAGATGACGTACTACCTCAGAGGGTTGTGTCAGGATTCAGTGACTGTCTATGCAAAGATTCAGAACACTAGCATGGGGTACAGACATAATAATGGCAGTCACTGTCACCACCACAGTCACCATTAATACCATAATCATCCAGATGCTCATGGAATTACTATGTATGAAGCCCTTGAATGCATCAGATGAACACAGGAGGAAAATGTGATTAGGGAATCCATTTATACAGGCAAGTCCTGTCCTCCTTAAATATCACACAGAGGTCAGAACTGTGATATATTCCATATTTTAAAAATGCATTTACTTTTCCTTAGTATTAAATTAGTACATATGCATTAGAGAAGAAATTGAAAGTACAGAAAGTACGGAAAAGAAATTAGATATTTCCTGTAATCTTACCATCTAGAATTAGGACTTGGCTGTAGTTCAAGATCAGAAGTAAGGCTTTCCATCTATTTTCATGACTAGATTTATCAACAACTACAGTAAGTA